ATAATTTGTGAGGAATTGCAAGCCTACGGTGTACCTCCTAAAAACGTTCCCGCTCAACCCGCCTGTAGCAATCTTCGTGGCATTACTAGGGAAGAAATGTCAGCATATCAAAGCACCCACCATGCTCTACCTTGCCCCCAACCTGCTTCTTATGCACAGATCACTTCAATTCAATCCTCGCCGTCTCAAGTACCACCACCTGTGCCTGATCAGGAACATCTCGCACCTCTAGTCGCCTGTCCACCGAACCCTACCTACCATTCTTCCTGGCGGGCCCCACGGCCTATTCGCTACTACTGTGGAATTCGAGGACGTATTTCTCGGTTCTGTCAACGTAGGCAGCAGGTTGAACGTCGTGGTTATGCCGCTTTTGAACGTGACGACACATGTGCTCGAGGTTACTACCGTTATGCCGACAGTTCTTCCAACCACCGATCCCCGTCTTCTGTGTGCATTTACAACACGACCAACAATACACGTGCCTCCCGACCACGCTCTCTTTCGCCACTTCAGCGCTCTGTTTCACCACTTCGGCCTAGTCTCTCAACTGACTGCCCAGTGATCGGAAAACTAAACAGTGCAGTTTTTAGAGGGAAAACTGTATCGCGGCGAAATTACCCAAGTCCTCCTGAACGACCATCAAACAAGTTATTGGTGACGGTGCAAGGTGTGCTGGTGTTGGCTTTGGTGGACACGGGAGCAACTATTTCAGTTATGCGTGCCGACTTGTGTTCTCGATTGTGCAAAGTGAAGACACTCTACCTTGGATTATCTTTGATTGGAGCCTATGGAGCAATAGTTAGACCATTGGCCCAATGTACAGTGCATGTCTTCATTGATGGTATTCGTCATCACATCACCTTCGCTGCCTTAATTTCATGTGCTCATGAACTAATTTTACGTTGGTACTTTCTCTCTTCAGCATCTGCATTAATTTCTTGCCGTCACCGTGTAGTCGAGATGACAGAGACTGATCACTGCAGCGAACGCGTCGACGAGAAACCATCGCGTTTTTTCACAGCTTCCGATTCCACACTGCTCTCGGGTCAGGGGCAACTCATCACCATCACTTCTCCGAATATTGCCAATGGTGACGTCCTTATCACCTCTTTCAGCCACTGTCTAGCTCGCGGCATTGTAGTCCCCTCCAGCCTGGTGCGGTTCAAACAAAGACAGTGCTGCGATAATATTTGGCCTGAACCCTACTCTGGAGTCTGTCCTCCTACCCCAAGGTTCTGCAGTATCGTGTTATGTGGATACCCAACCAGTATCTTTGGTCTCTCTTGACGCCTTGACAGCTCAGCCATAACAGGGCCCCTCTGTTACTTCCTCCTCCTTTTCTCCAGGAATAAATCTTGACGTTTCTGCTTTTCAGCGTGAGGCGTTGCTGAATTTGCTAATGAAACACCAGGCCTTCTTCGACGCCAATGCTTCGGCACTAGGACAGACCACAGTTGCGCATCATCGCATCGACACTGAAGGTCAGACAGCTGTACGCCGTCGTCCCTACCGAGTCTCCGTGGCCGAGCGCAAAATCATCGGGGAGAACGTGTTCGATGTGCTAAAAAGAAACGTAATACGACCCTCTACCAGTTCTTCGTCATCACCCGTTGTGTTGGTACAAAAGAAGGACGGATCGGTACGATATTGTGTTGATTACCACGCGCTCAGCAAGATTACCCGAAAGGATGTATATACGATGCCCCGTATAGATGATGCACTGGATTCATTGCAGGCGCTCAATATTTGTCCACCCTTGACCTGCGGTCCGAATATTGGCAAATACCAATGGACGAAGCAGACAAAAAAAGACCACATTTTCTACGCCGGGCAGGCTTTACGAGTTAACCGTAATTCTATTTGGCCTATGTATTGCTCCCGCCACATTTGAAAGGATGATCGACACTGTTCTTCGTGGCCTTAAGTGTAAAACTTGTCTATGCTACCTCGATGATATTCGTCGTGTTTTCTTCCACTTTTTCTGATCATCTGCAACGCCTAGATCAAGTGCTCACGTGTGTCTCCAATCCTGGACTTCAACTAAATACAAAGAAGTGCCGTTTCAGCAACACAGCTATAAAAGTTCTAGGACATCTCGTTAGTAAAGATGGCATCCAGCCCGATCCTGACAAAATTTCCGCAGTCCTCAACTTTCCGTGACCCTTTCGCATCAAAGAACTACGCAGTTTCCTTGGACTTGCATCGTACTTTCGCCGCTTCATTCGCAACTTTGCCACTATTGCCGCTCCTCTCCACAAGCTCCTTGCCAGTACCGGTTCCTTCGATTGGAATGATCAATGCGAAGCCTCATTTCAAGAACTCAAGCAGGCACTGACATCCCCACCGGTGCTTGGTTATTTCGATGACAGGGCACCTACGATATTACACACTGACGCTAGTGGACAAGGAATCGGCGCCGTACTCCTACAGCGCGACCATGCCTTTCGCGAGAAAGTTATCGCGTATGCAAGCCGCACTCTGACCTCTGCAGAGAAGTGGTACTCGATAACCGAACAAGAGTGCTTGGCTGTTGTCTGGTCCATCCAAAAAATTTCGTCCGTACCTACATGGTCGACATTTTACTGTTGTGACAGACCACCATGCTCTTTGCTGGTTGTCCACAATCAAAAACTTGTCGCGACGACTTGACCGCTGGATTCTCCAATTACAATCTTATGACTTTGATGTCATCTACAAGACTCGAAGACAACATAGAGATGCCGACGCTTTGTCACGATGCCCTTTGCCGCAGTTTTCGGCGCACGTCACATCTCCTTGTCAAATTGGCTATACGGAGAACGCCTCGTCGATATCAGCCATTTCTTCCCTACCTTCATCCACCCCTCCGTCAGTACTTACTACTCACCAGCGAGCCGATTCTTATTGCACTGACCTCATCGGTCGGCTTACCGGTGCTTCATCTTCCCCAAATTCCAGGCTCCAGAAAAAACTCCGACTTTTCAAGTTGGAAGACGATGTGCTCTATCGATACATTTTCCACCCGGAAAGCCACCGATGGGTTTCCGTCGTACCACGCGCACTACGCACTGAAGTTCTGCGCGCTTCCCATGACGACCCGACATCAGGCCACTTGGGTTACTACAAAACATACGAGCGCATCCGCAGTCGATTCTTCTGGCCAGGTCTTTCTACGATAATAGGTAAATATATTGCCTCGTGCGCACTTTGCCAACACCGCAAGCGGCCCACTACTGCTGCAGTCAGGACCCTACAACCACTTCCTTGTCCAGCAGAGCCGTTCTCTGTCGTCGGAATTGACCTCTTTGGTCCCCTCCCAACTACATCAGACGGAAAGAGATGGATCGTCATCGCGGTTGATCACTTGACTCGGTACGCTGAAACGGCCTCGATCACTTCCGAAACTGCTTCCGAAGTAGCAACATTCTTGAATTCTATTTACCTACGTCACGGAGCCCCTCGCGTTCTTTTGAGCGACCGGGGCAAGGCATTTCTTTCAAGCACGCTCAGTGAAGTTCTTCAAGCATCAAAAACAGTTCATAAAACAACATCTAGCTATCACCCACAAACCAGTAGCTTAACGGAAAGAATTCATCGCACGCTGTGTGACATGCTGTCCATGTATATCCGACCGGAACATCGCAATCGGGATGCCATACTTCCCTTTGTGACGTATGCATATAATACGTCAGTTCAACGAACCATAGGCTATTCTTCATTTTTCCTAGTATACAGGACGCCAACCGACATCACCACTCGACGTTTCATTCTTTTCTGGCCCCATCAACGCTTCCCTATTCATTCGCGACCAGTTTCTGTCCTGTGTTACTCAATGCCGTCGTCTTGCCCGTGTAAGCACCGAAGCTAGCCAAGAAGATCACAAACATCGTTACGATGCCACGCACCGCGTCATTCTCTACCGCCCTGGCGACGATGTACTTATGTAGACTCCTGCGCGAACGCCTGGCTTATGCAAGAAGCTTAAGCCACGCTATCTTAACCCCTACAAAGTAGTCAAACAGACCTCACCGGTGAACTACCGTGTCACCCCTGTTCATGGCAACACTGACCAACGCTGCCACGGGACAGAGATTGTGCACGTTTCGCGTCTCAAGCCCTATCGTATGCGTTCTACAGCATAATTCGCGGCCAGGCTGGCCACTTCTGTCGATGGGAGAAATTAGTGTAAGAATTCATTGGACTTCACCTTCCTCATCTGTCAATACCCATCATCCATCTTGGTTTTGTTTCTCTTCGTCATTGGCGCCATCTTGTTGTTGCTTGAATAAAGCGTCAGCTGAACCATGGTATTTCAACAAATATATATATATATATATATATATATATATATATATATATATATATATATATATATATATATATATATATATATATATATATATTGAGAGAGAGTAATTGTTGAAAGGTTGCAAGGGGAACCTTCTCATGCGTAAGAGGTTTACTGAACAATAAAGGTCTGCTGGAGAACTTACGACAAGCATTCCAACAGATCTATAGCGCCGAATCACCACTTTTGGATTTTGCCATATCTAACGTATGGGGCAACAGCTGAGGGAGGATAGCGAAGTCGGGAAGCTGGGGACTAGGCAGTTCACGATGTAATGGAAAGAGCGATAGGCGTAACACTGGGAGATGGAAGGCGGCACAGTGCATCAAAAACAAGTGGGACTGATGCGTTGGTGGACACTCGTCAACGTAAGTGGTAATGTGCAGATCACGTAACGCGTTCAACAGTTAAAGGCTCATTCGCCGGAGCATCTGAATCAATACAAAAGTACGATAATTGTAGCCGAGTATGGCAGAGTGTTTGGTGTGGCAATGAAATTAAGAAGTTTGCACACCTTAAAACTATTTCGCAAGACATGGCTGGCTGAGGATGAATAAAACTTGAAAAAGAATGAAAAATCAAGCTCGCCGTGACACATGGTGAACTCTTATGATCTTCACGAGCTGTTTATCACCGCTTATACCAACACTGATGGATTCCATTCGTTTCGCAGACGGTGCGCCCAGCGACGAGTTCAAATGCCCGGAGCAGTTTGGCTACTACGCAGACGATGGAGACTGCAGCAAGTATTTTGTGTGCGTGTTTGGGGACGCTCTGCATGAGAGCTGTACCGGGGGCCTTTACTTCAGCGTCGAGCTGCAGACATGTGACTGGCCAAGAAACGTGCAATGCTCCGGAGGTAAGTGATTGTCGTCCATTTTGAATCTCGCTCAGTCGTACCCGATTAGTGTAAACCGTGTTACGCTTTAAAAACAACGGTACCTTTACAATCTAAAAACAATCTTGGAGTCATGAAACTTCACTGTTCAAGCATGCCATTTGAGGCTAAAAAAATGACGCACTTTTCTTTAAATACCGGCGTCCCACGGGCACTCATGTCCTCATAATAATTGGTTTGTTTACAGAAACTACAAAAGACAGTTAGCGGATCATTGAGTCGGACGTAATCGGGATTAGAAAATTATCGTGTAACACCGACTTTAGAAAAGCGACAAAAGCTGAAGAAAGGGCGCGCTTCTTTCCTGTTCGCAGGGATTGACATAGAATCGCCGAACTGCTGTCCTACTTGAGAGTTTAGCCGTACTGACACAAGAGTAGGAAAAAAGAATGCAAACGCACTTTAAATTAACGATTATAGAGGAGGGTAATCAAATAGACAAAACACATACTCTGAAGTGCAGGCGTCGCTGTGTCACTCAACCCCGTCTTGACTCTGTGTGTTTGAGACAAGTGTGTGCTCATATCAAAATATAATTCTTTAACTAGGCATTCCGCCCTTGCGCGACGTAAAAGGAGGCTTGAACGCTCAAGCGTTTCTTCTGGTATCAATATAATTTATGAACAGTGGCGCAGCTGTTACTGTGATGTCTGCAAAAAGCAGTGCTTTCATCAAATTTTCGCATACATGTACCACAGTGATATTCGTTTGAAGTAACCTCTAATCAGTCGACTAATCGCTGGTTATGCAATGTCATATCTGCTTCATGTAGATATGACAGAATATTAGATGAAAACTTCGAGAACACTGGAGTAGCCGTGTCACTGGAGCTACTTTTTACACAAGCGGACTTGTCTCCTTCTAGGACTGCGACTTCGTTGCAGCACTTTCAGTGATCTCACATTACGCAGGCAAATTAAAAGCGGGTGTATATTGGTTCTTTGTTGTCTCATGCGATTAGGCGCAGCATGCACGAAATGGTATTTTCGATTTGTCTGGTGCAGCCTCGAGGAAAGCGACGCCTGCACCAGCCAAGAAGCCGGAGACTTTCGGGGGAAGCCAGCGTCGCAGCGGAACACGTAAATCATCTGGGGGCGAAACAACGAGACCTACGCGGTTCCGAGGTCGACCAACCACCACTACCACCACAACCACAGTGCGCACAACCACGACGCTGAGGACGACGACACCTGCTCCGCCATCGACGCGACACCAGCCAACTGAGTCACCAGAGTATCAGACACTGTACGACGACAGCAAGCACGAAGAAGACGAAGAAGAAGAGGAGAGTGAAGAGGAGGAAGACAGCACTGAAACTGCTGACGATGCCGTCGAGTCTAGCCTCGAAGGGCCGCGCAAAAGCTCAGCGCCAAAGTCTAACAGCTATGACCCGCAGCAGCCTCAGTATGACGAGGCCGTGCCGCAGCTTGTCAACTCGGATGGGAAAGTGCTTGGCTCCGACAATGGTCGGCCGGATAAGTTCATACCTCGGACAGAACCTAAACAGCCAGACTCGCTAAGCGTGTTCGTCAAACCACTCTACCGGAACACAGGTGATCAGAAAGATAAGGAGTCAGACCAGGTGTTCAAGAGGGACCAGACGGCCATCCTTGCGGCCCCTAGCCCTCATCTCGAAGATGACGTCATCGTTCCGTCCGTCTACGGTGGTGGGCGCGCTCAATCGTTGGCCAATGCTGAAGTGGGAGGTCGCAAAGACGTCGTTCTGGTTACTTACCCTCGAGACCGTTACCAGTACTCGAGTGGTGCGAACTACAATAATGAGAACGAGTTCCGAACGTTCCTGCAGGACCAGCAGCGCGAGCAACTGCCGGCTGCCCAGCCGGACGTGCAGAGGGTTCTCAGCGACTCGAGCGTACGGCCATCGAGCCGTGGGCGAAACCGAGAAGCTCGCTTCTACCCGAGGACGCAGCAGGTGTCGCAGCAGACGCTCGTCGCACAGATCCCGCCCCCTGCGCTGGTGACCCCACAGAGGGCGCCGGTGACACAGACGTACGAAAACAGGTACCCGCCCACGCAGAGGGTCACGCAGGCACCTACCCGAGTGCCCACCTACCCGTCTTACCAGGACTACGACCACAACTACCAGCTGCAACCGGAATACGCGTACTCGGATGACGAGGAGCCGTACCCGACAACCACCACCACTCCGAGGCCCACGAGGCGCATAAAATACCGTACTACTACCCCGACTACGACAACAACAACCACTGTGAGGTGAGTGCCCCTTTAACAGCCTTGAAACTTTACAAGGTCAGGCCAAATGTGTAGCAGGAAACGAGCTGTGGTCTATGGCCTTAACCAATCAAAAAGATGGTGGACAAGGGAGAGAAAAGACCCATAGAATGAATGGACTAGCAACGGTGCTTTTCTTAGCTGACCATATCTTCCAGCAGAGCCAAGGCACACGCGTAAAACAACGCATGTGCCTTGGCTTTTCAGGAAGATTGTTATTAGGAACGCATAAACTGAGACTCGTATGCTGCGTAAAAAAAGACGTACTGTACGTCATCTAGATAAGAAGGCTGCTGTAATATAAAAATATATTACAATGTTTGAAGTTTACCACCGCAAAACCACCATATGATTGTAGAAGACACTGCAGTGGAGGTGTCTATGAAATTTTTATAGCCTGGCGCTCTCGGACTTGGCAGATAAAGAAAAGAAAATGAAATTGGATGACTTCAGGTTCTGAGTCACAAAGTGCTATAAACATAGAACACTAAATAGAGACATTTATAACTACCGAAGCGTGAATATTTAGACAAAGATAGCTTTACACTTACTTTTGAAGCAAAGGGCTGCAATAAAGCAAAAAAATGTCAATCTCTTAAAGGAGCCCTCCAACACTTTGCACGGCCCTAATGTTTTACATGTTCTTGCCCCACCATGGTGGTCTACAGCATTTTCAATGCAGGCGAAAGTGCTGTAGCCCCGTGTTCTCAGATTTGGGTGCAGGTTAAAGAACCCCAGGCGGTCGAAATTTCTGGAGACCTCCACTACGGCGTCTGTCATAATCATATGGTGGTTTTGGGAAGTTGAACCTCACACATCAATCAAATGAAGTGTTTTACTTGTTATTTTAGCTGCTTATGTACACTGCAGTTAAGAGATAAGTACCGCAAGAACGGCCGCGATAGGGGCACAAAGTTGAAAGTTATTCAAGCAAAAAAAAATTAAAATACAATAAAATGAACGTCCACCGTTGACTTCATTGTCTTGGGCCCACCTGACCATGTTTCTTTCAGCACTCTGTGAATTCGGATGGCTTCTTAGTGAAATGAACAGAAAGCCCTACCACAAAGGAAGGTTGCATGCCATATTTCCCGTTATTTACAGCGTCTTGAGGATGCCGTTACGATGGTAACAAATAGTTTGAGAATTGGGTCTCCAAGGAGCTTAAGAACCCAAGAAGCTTGCGACGCATTAGGGCGCATGGGCAGAACCCAAGCCAATCTTGGGCTCTTGCGTTTGTGCTGACCTAAGGCTCAAAACCTTTTGGTTAAGTACTACCAAAGCGTTGGGGCGTAGGAAAGCCAGACACTTGCGCAGAAAAACGTAGTCTCACATATATTGAGTGCCTTAAGATTGACCGGTTTGACTAAATTTGGCGCTTGTTTGTTGTATGTTACGCCAAATCGTTATGTGTTAGGTTGATTGTTCGCATTTAGTTCGTACGCATGAAATTACTTTTGTCTCTTACCCCCAGTAACTGCGTTCGCAAATCAACACGGCAGCATCCTTGCAGAAGCGACCGCCCGCTTCGATCCCAACTTGCTCTTGCTACACGGTCACTGCGCTGACAGCAACAAATCAATGGTGAAACCCACCATAGATTTGTTTCATATTATTCTGAGGATAAAACGTCCGGTACGTGCTGTCGTATTGTTTCATCTTATTCTGAGGATAAAACATCAGGTACGTACTGACGCAACCTGTGCTTCGTCAATGACTTTGCATTGCTGAGTAACTCAGGGGTCGAATTGCAACTCATGATTACGGAGTTAAACAAAGAGAGCAGAAAAGTAAGTCTTAAAATCAATCTACAGAAAACTAAGTTAACGTACAACAACCTCGGAAGAAAACAGCGCTTTGAGATACGCAATAGTGCACTTGAAGTTGTAAAAGACTATGTCTGTTTAGGACAGGTATTAACCATGGACCAGATCCGCGAGACTGCAGTAACTAGAAGAATAAGAATGAGGTGGAGCACATTTGGCAAGCACTCTCGAATCATCACAGGTAGATTGACACTATCCCTCAAGAAGAAGGTATATAACAGCAGCATCTTGCCGTTACTTAGCTGCGGAGCAGAAACGTGGAGACTTGCAAAGGCGGTTCAGCTTAAATTGAGGACTACGCAGCTAGCATTGGAAAGCAAACTGGTAGGTGTGGAGACAAGAAGAGAGCAGAGTGGATTAAGGAAGAAACCGGGGTTAAGGATATCATAGTTGAAATCAAGAAGAGGAAATGGACATGGGCCGGCCGTGTAGCATGTAGGCAGGATAACCGCTGGTCATAAAGGGTAACTAACTGGATTCCCAGAGAAAGCAGAAGGGTTATGAGGAGACAGAAGGTTCGGTGGGCATGAGATGTTTGCGGGTATAATTTGGCAGCAGCAGCCCAGCCACGGTGGTTTAGTGGCTAAAGGACTCGGCTGGTGACCCGCCGGTCGTGGTTTCAAATCTTGGCTTCGGCGGCTGCATTTCCGATGGAGGCGGAGATGTTGTAGGCCCGTGTGCTCAGATTTGTGGGCACGATAATGAACCCCAGGTGGTAGAAATTTCCGGAGTCTTCCACAACGGCGTATCTCATAATCATATGGTGGCTTTGGGACGTTAAACTTCACATATCAATCAATCAATTTGGCAGCACCAAGCACAAGACCAAGTTGACTGGCGCAACATGGAAGAGGCTTTTGTCCTACCGTGGACGTAGTCAGGCTGATGATGATGAAGACGTGTTGTCGTTATTAGGGAAATACGCTGGTTGCTTTGCCGCACGTGCTAAGACTAATGCGCCGAGCCAGGGCTTGGGCTGCGTCGCTAGACCAAGAACGCTGCATCTACAAATATCGGACATGCAACATGGCACAGCGTTTCGTGCCCGTCGGATCCTCTTTCGATGGAAACAAAAAGCGAGAGAAAACAAGCATTGCAGTGGGAGACGCGATGTGACTCGTCGACGGAGAAACAGTTATACAGAGCCACTATAAGTGTCGGAGAGAAATGGGCACAAAGTGAAGTTATCCGCCGGCATGAGCTCCTACCGATCTTCAGCATGCAGAGCTACAAATTCATGCTTCATGTTTCTGGCGTGACTGTTTGTTTTTACAGTTTTACTGTATTTTTAGGTTATTAAGCCAGCCTTGCCTACAATGAGTGTGTATACATAATCCGGCGAGCAGATGCCGTGAAGACGGTGAGCAGACGACTTAGCGCGAGCATATACATGTGGAAAGGCTAATTTCTCTTTCTATTCGCTTAGGGGCCCTGTAGCCTCCACAGTGCTTAAAAGTGGGGCACCAAGGTGTCTTGAATCGCCAGCGAAACGAAGCAGACTCAGCACGAGCCATTGTGCCGTATGGCCCACGTCTCGCATAATTTCGAATTTGGCCACGGGTGGCACCCCTGCGTTGGACCCTGTGCAGCCTGTGTTTGACCCAGTTCTCAATCTCTTCTTATCCTGCGAACTCAAGAGCAACCTACGCAACGAAGCTTGGGGACCCAGTGTCTTGGGCCCCCAATTCCCAAACTCTCTAATAATTTGCTACTTGGAGAGTGAACGGCATGTGTGAAACAAGGAAGCTCTCCAACCCTTCCCTAAAGTGGTTTAGCTCCACTGATCTTTATTTGTGTGAAGGCGTCTATATTGCGCGCGAGCGCATAACGTGGCGCTACAATGCGGAGACATTCCTGTGAAGTAGGCAATCGGATTGCTCCTCCGTCCGCAGCCACTTTTGCGTCTCCCTTTTTTATTAATATTTTCTGGTGCTTCACTCAACTAAATTGGTAAAATACTGCTTCTTCTCTGATTTTGACGGAGTGCTGAATAACTGCCCCGGGAAAGCGTTGCGCTTTTCATAATGCCTGACTGCCGACCTCGTCTGCAATGACTACCGAAATGAACACCACTGGGGCCGAGCGTGATTCTTCCGTAAAAGCTAACAAGCCATTCTGTGTCGCAATGAAGCATCGAATAGGTCATAACGTGAAAGAAACTTATCTTTGCCGCAAGAAAAGCACGCGACTACTCTAACTCATTTATTCTAGGTTTGTATTTATACATCTATGTATAACGAGCAGCGGTTGACCTGGTAAGCATGCGCGAATTTACATTTTTGTTTAGCGCACTTAGCCCTAGGAAGCCCAGCGCAAGCGAAATCTCCACTTTGTGGGAAGCAGCCCAGCATTCTTACAGCTGACACCTTTTTGTTATAATTACGGGCAAACGTGAGAATCATGCACACGCGTGCCTCATTCAGATTTTAACGTTTTTTCTGCGGCACGATCCTAATATTGATTGCGCTAAATTTCTATGGCGGCCACATGTTGCGCAATCGATTGCCATCGATCAACACATGGGTTAAAATGAATTAGGAATGATTGTTTCAGTTCGAGAGCTTCTAACAAGGGGTAAATTGTGATTTTAAAAAAAATGTGATCAGCCAGCCGTAACACTTCGGGCTCTTTAACGTGCTCGCTGCGAGGTCTTGCGTACCATGATCTAAACGTCAATTTCGTGTTTCATTGAAGTTGCCAGTGTCCAGATATCTTCTTTTTTTTCAGCTTCATTCATGAGCTGTGTCATATTCCAAGGCAGCTCTTGGAAGATGAATCAGTTTTCGAAGCTGAACGCATTTTCACCCGTAGATGAAAACAAGATTGAGAGGAAGCGACAGTGTCTATGGGCTTGTTCTACAGACTTAATCTAGAAGCGTGGGACCCTGTGAGCGCCACCTAGTTTGGATTTGGGCCCGGGCATGCAGGTGTGCTGGACTGTTATTTTGCTTGATAGTTTTGCCACCTACGGCAAAACTTGTGTGGGGTAGAGGGGGATGGCACGGGCTTGGTGTGACACAGCCGGCTACGGTACTGGTGGATGGAAACCCGTTCAGTCGTGTGCACACATGAGGACGAATAGCCCAGGAGGAGGGTGGGAGGGTGCTTCAATGTAATGACGGCAACTTCTTCCACCTGTGCACACCTACGTCCTATTTTAAAATATACATAATCGAACTGTGTGCACATTCATTTTTTGTTTGGAACGAGGCTCCCAAGCGGAATGGAACGTTCTACTTTTGTGTGAGCATTTGTGGTCGGTGTTAATTTTAACCACATAAGCTCGAAATAACAACCACAAACACACAGAAAGAGAGATGAGAAAGAGCCACAGCCAGCGGCCGTGAGAGTGCCCTAGCTTTCCTTCGCCAGAGTGAGGGGAGATCACGTCATCCAACCCTGCACGCCACAACGATTGCAGCGCTCGCTCCTCCAGTGGTCAGCCTCGCGCCTAATATCAACGCTCTTGCAAGTTTTCTTTTCAAACAACGGCATCGGGAGCGTCCCCAGCGCATTTCTGCCGTAGCGCATTCTTCGGCCGCCTTTACACGCTGAAGAAGTTGAAAAGCTTTGTTTTTTCGCGATCAGTGCGAAGCCATGCTAAAAAAAAAACTCCCTACTTCGATGCAACACCACGACAGCATCTAACGTTACTTTTGTCCAATCACAGGGCTGCTCCTTACATCGTCATATTCCTTCATAACAGTTCTAGCGAGTGCCACTACGAGTTCATGCGGTCAGAACCGATGTTTTGAAGTGTTAGAGGGTCCTTTGAAAGCGATTTGTGGCTGTTAAAACGCATATACTTGAGAACTTCAGTATGGGGGGACGTTGTATGTTCAAGAAAAGAGCTGCCGTACGGAAGTTGTATACACACTTCTGTATTGCTTCTTTAAAAGACTTCTTCAGCACTCTTACCTTGATGAACTGATTTTGAATCTGCAAAACACACAACTTCTACGCATAAAAGCGTTCCATTCGTTAAAAAATATGCAGCAAATGTGAAGAACTGATAACACCATTAGAATATTGTGTGAAAATGAAATTGGTGTTTGGCAACTCTCAAGTACTGCAGCAACTTTAAAAGTTGTGTGATCCACAATAGAATCACTGTATGATTCAAATACTTGGGCTCCACAGCGATACGCGACAATTTTTCTCCGAATGGCCAGATAAACGAGTCACAGCGTGAGCGGCCTTCACTTCGACTGTACCCTGTATCATTACAAAGTCGGCGACACACTATGCAACGTATGGTCGAGCGTGGTCTTCATTAAACAAGTTGACCGTTTGTTTGCACCGTATAAATAGCCGGAACCGTCCTAGAAAAAGCTAAGAGAAGCTGTGACAGCAAAAAGGATCAGGTTACAAGGAGCGATAACTTGCCCATGTTTTCATAACATGTGAAAACGATTCAATTAAAGTTGAAGAAAGCGCGTATAAACTGGAGCTTGTTTCACTTGACCCGCCACGGTGGCCTCGTGGTCTTGAAGGTATACTGCAATGGACACGTTACCGGCATTTCGATGAATACAACAAGGTGGGGGCCCATGTGTCTGAAATATTGGAAGCTCTTCAAGGCGTGAATTTCCGGAGCCCCCCACTAGGGTGTCCGTCGCAGTGATATTCTGGTTTTTAGGGAAAACCCCCCACAGTTAAAGCGCGAAATCAAGGCCTGTCGGCGTCTAATTTCATCACGATCCAACATAAGATGCTGTGGTAAACCTCTCTACTCGCTAGCAATACGCTTAAAGATAAAACACCCAACGTTTAGCCCAAAAAACGACATTAGTGGAGCTTTCCCTACATGGAACCGAAACTGGGCATGTAGGGAAAATATAACACCACATTAAGATTAGCTGCATTCCCACAATGTTAGTGGAGCGGGAACACCATTGCCTACACAGTCGGTTACAGGCTTGGCACCACAATTGAAAAAATCTCTCTCAAAACTGTGCCCCCGTCCCCAGGTTTTGCGTCAGTGTCACTGACACCCCCTTCCCTTCATGCTTCGCTCCTTCCCGGTTTTCGCTTTGCGACCAACTTCACGATGATGTATCATTAAAAACCGAGTTCTGGTAGCAAAGTTAGGCACACCAACCTGGAAAAACTCTGTCGTAAATGTGGGTCAAACTCGTCATGCAGTCGAATGTTTCGTGTGTCACTTGCCGCGATCGGCTGTCGCTACAGAAGGTATCGTCGCACGTCCACGAGTCAACACCGCATTACCATCACAACGACATGGCTGCGTTCTGCCAAGGAAAAAGCTTAGCTTGCCTCCTGTCCCACTTTTCGGTTCGTTTTCCATCAACAACAGCAGCTTTTTTATCGACAGCGAGAAAGCATTCATGTGCCCTTCCTTGTCAACGCGGACGTGCTTTTGTTTGGAAGTAATTGTCATCGGGCTCTGTTCTCTCAAGGTGTCTCTGCCGAAGCTTACAAATAACGACCTATAAGATATCTACGCTTTATTCAACGCCCGAAGACTAACCCCTGGAGGGCCGTTCACTCTCGACAGGGTGGTCATCATGGTCACCTTGAAACTTCTTTTAGTGCTCACTCAATTGCAGCCATGTGAGCGACATTCGAAAGACAAAGAATAAGACGTCCACAGCACATCAGAGTGCTGTCTATGTCTCTTGTGTCCATGTCTTATGCGTTACTCCTTCTAAGTTATAGAAAATACGGGTTGCCTACAGGGTATCATGTCCTGAACGCTCAAAAGACACAAAGGTTCGAAGAAGCAGCTTTGTTACGGAATCAGCAAACATGTGGGAACGACGTGATGAAAATGAAAATGTAACGCTGTTTTCTGTGCCTATCGTGACCACAAAATCGACTTTGATGGCGCTTACCTGATCATCACTGCAACAAACTTCAGCAGAAAGTTGTTACCAAAACATTTAGAGCAGTAGTATGAAAAGCTGGGCTAGTTGGAATGCTTGCATGATAGACGCAGTGTTGCAGACGAACAGTCTTGTGCTCTCGACATGTGTTCTTTTAATCTAGAACATCGTGGGAAACATTACCTGTTCGCTGGGAACAATGCCCTCTGTTTACGGCTTTCGCGACGCAATGGTAAAGAAGCCGAGTGGGGGCCTTAATACGAAGAAACCCCAATCAGTGCATTCATCATTTGAGGAAGAAAGAAAACATTGGCTTCATTTTATTAGTGTTTTTGAGTAGTTCTGGTCCTACCCAAATTATGAACTGAAAGTGTGCAACTAAAATATGTTGTCCACCACCGTGACACAAGCTGTTTTAATGATATGCTTTACAGAGTGTCGCTGCATGGGCGAGCTGGTTACGAATACTGAGACATCAAAGTGGTCGCGTAAGAAAGCCATTCATGCGGTGTGGCTACCGACAACCACCACTCGTCCTGTAATAAAGTAGAACATGGTGTTCCTCAGGGTAGTCTGCTTGATCCTTTGCTGTTCATTATTTCTAATAATAAATTGTTACAAATAGACACTTGCGTCCAATTTACTATATACGCAGATGACACAAGCTTATTCTTGTCAGGTTCGAATGCAGATGATTCAATAAATCGTGCCAATATCGTCCTAAATAAGTTACGTACTTGGTCTTAAAAAACTTCCTTCTTACTACCTCAAAGAAAACTAAAGCAGCATTTTTCAAAGCAAAAATCAAGCTATTTCTGTCAAAGCCACACTTACCTTAGGAGGGAATGTCATAAAAATGACTAACACCGTTATAACGCTTGAAGTCTACTTTAATGAATTCATGCTCTACGATAGTCACATAGTGCATCATCAAAGTAAGCTTCTACGTGTAGTGGGTGTTTTAAGAAAATTCCAGCATCTATTGCATGAAAGGCAAAACTTACGTTGTACCATGCCCTGTTTGATTCGTAGTTAAAATACTGCGTATTGGTATGGAGAAGTTCAACAAAAAGAAATATTAGTAAATAAATCTCAATGCGGAATATTGCGCTTAGAGCGATTGCTGACGTGCCTAACAGAGCTCATTCTGAACCACTGTTTACCAGCTATCGTATTATGCACTTAACCAAGATGTACCATCATCGTTTTTTACCGATCTAGAAATCACAGATTGAACACAGCATATTGTTCTTATGTGAAGTCGCTAACCTCCACTCCAACATTTCTTACTACTTTACAAGGAACCACGAGTATTGGGTTGTGCCTCACCTGCGCACTAACTGCGGCTTTCAAACCCTAACCTAAACATTGTCTTCTTTGCTTAACAAACTTGGCTTTTTTCACACCTCGATACACGAGCTTTCCTCTAACTCTCTTAGAAACTTATTTCGTTAATGGGTGGATTTCCCCACCAATTGAGTTTTATTTTGTGTACGCAGCCTTATTTGAATATATCTGGGGATATCTTTTTGTAGTATTGGCCATTTTATTGTGCACCGAGTTTTCCTGCTTTTGAGTTTCTTGTTTATTATGCTACACATTAGCCTGTGCTATCTATGTTTTCATGCATACCGCAGTTCCGATGTATCCGGGGGGAAGGGAGCAACGTCAAGCCGCGACTGTGTGGGTTTTTCCCTCCTCCTAAGCCATGTATCTTTTGTATGCATGTCTGAAATAAAGACTCAGACTCATATGGATGAAAAAAAAACACAGATTCAACTCATTTGTCTTGCAAAATTGTATTTCAACAATAAGTCCCTGTAGCTTTAATCCTCCGCAAAATATGCTGACCATGCACAGCTTGCAGCAATCTATGCTAGTATTTCAAATGGCGGGTTTCTGGCATGCGGGAGTACGAAGGGCTGCCAAAGCGGTCCGACTCGCTCTGGTTTCAAACGCAGGCCGGTGACTCGTCGGGCACCGCCCAAAGGCTTCAGCCGTCCGGCGACTCGACCTCCGGTGCCTACAACGCCCGCGTCGCCGCCGGCAAGGCCTCGTAACCTGTACGCTACGCCAACCCCGCTGGAGACAGCCGGCCGCTGCGAGGCTCGCAAGTGCCGCCTTCCCGACTGCCACTGCGGTGGAGCCGAGATACCCGGAGACCTTCCACCCCAAGAGACACCGCAGGTGAGCAATATTTTCCTGCACATTAGGGAAACACCTTAAGTATACGTGTTCGTAAGAAGATAATTAGTCCACTTAACATTCAGTATGCGATCCACTCTAAGCAGGTTCCTTGAAATTTCACTGATTGCTAGTAATTTCACTAGTGTCTGGACCACGGCCAAAGAGGAGAAACACGGCTTTCACGCTCTCGCAGCCAACACTATAGCTAGGCCTATAGTGTTCTCCGATCAGGGGCCCTCTTTTAGCCAAAACTTCTTGCTTTGTAAGGGTGCCTTAACAAGGACAGCACAGACCCACTTATGGACGTGTACAGGACGCGTGTGTAGGGTGCTAGCGTGTTAGCCAGTACTGTCATCAGGCTGGTCATTATGTAGTCATTGTGTTCTAAAAGAGCCCTTTAACACTTTACAACGTGAAGAGAAAAAGCAGCTGATCGATAGTTCAAGTCACTACGGTCATAGAAGCCAAATGTACAATATGCCGTGCAGCCGACAAGGCATAATTACGTTTCAGTCACTTAAAATGTTCAGCAGTGCTTGTTGCTGAGCTAGTGGCTTCATATTTACTGGGGCCAGAAAGAGCCCCGAGTTAAAAAAATTCTCGTCATGTGTGCACTTTTACAAAGTTTACGTGCTGCAGCAAGAAATTTGTGACTACGTGGTATAACAAGGAAGTTACAGGGGTTAGAACATCCGTTTAGACTGATACCGCCACATTTCTCCCCCATAGGAAGGGGCATGGGAGTATACCATTATCATGGTTTTGTCAACTTCGGCAACGTCAGCGATACGTCATCTGCGCGCCGCCAATAACCCAGCATGCATCCCCGGCATGAGCACGTCTCATAGCGGCACGGGATAAAGCGCGAAACAAAAGTGCGATTTGGGCTGGTTGGGTCCTCTACAACCATGCGTGTGGTGGTGAGCGAAAAAACAAAGAACCTGTTCAGGCCGACAGCCAGAGCAAAACTGAGCTTTATTTTTTTTTCTAACCGCAAAAAATGCCGCACTAGGAACAAAGCGCATGGTCATGCACATGCACACGAGTGCGCCCTAATTATTAGGCGGCCGATGAAGATGATAATGATGGTTTCTGAAGGCCTCCCCCCTCATTTTATAAAAAAGGAAGGTGATGCACTGGTGCCCAAAAAAACAGTTTCGTGGTCAGACAATTTGGTCGAACCTGCGTTTCAACTGTGGCAAAAGAGTTCGAAGCACATAACGCTGGTGCTGTCACTAGGTAGGCTGGTTTGACTCAGTGGAACACCACAACATTTTTTCGTCTATTCAGCTCGATGGTGACAGTTTTTTTTTCTGTACGGCTGAGCACGTTGAATGGGCCGTCATAGGAAGGCGTAAGGAAGGGTCGGATACTTTCACACCAGAAGAAAAGACGGCTCGCTATAGCCAAATACTTGCTGACAAAAACGTCAGTCGACAGTGCATCGCGACTAGTGCAAGGACGCAGGTGTGAGAACAGAGATCGGCGGTGTTCCACGTAAGTGGCAGGATCAGCGTGGTGACAGTACCTGGAATGAGAAATGCCCCATACATACGCAGCGTCGTACCACAGACCAACTCCACCGCTGTGCAGCCGAGGTCTTTTTTGAAAGACGAATGCACGCCAAGAAGTACGAGAGAAAGGTCTTCAGCCCAAGATGGACGAGCCTGGCAAGCCATCAAAGCGACTTTAAGTTGACGGTAAAGGTGTTCAACGATTCCATATGCCGATGGGTGGTACGCGGTAGTATGGATATGGCGGACTCCGAACAGGTCCGTCACTTCGCGTCAAAGATTACATTCAAACTACCGGCCGCGATAGATGGTAACAACACTGGCGCATCTGAATCGTGAGATCCAATAGTCACTGACGAACGCTGACGCTACGGTGAATGCCGGTATGATGGCGAGAGGAAAAGTTGAGGCCAGCGTGTATATCGGTCCACACAAGTACAGATGTAGCGAGCACCTCGAGTCGGTGGGATTGGGCCAACGATATCCGTTCATTCATTCATTCGCAAAACTTTTTTTGTGTCCTGAAGCCCGGTCCTCTCATACCGAGGCGGGCTGCGTCCATGTCGGTACCGTCAGGCCTAGCCTGGTGCGTCATCGTGAACCTTCTGGAATGCCCATAGCTGGTCTTGATAAGACACACGTTGGTCTTGATAAGACATGCCCATAGTTGGTCTTGATAAGTTATCTTTATAGCCTCCGGAATAATAGCGGGCGGCGGATTGGGCTTGACCGGCACGGCAAGCGAGTCCTCGTGTCAGGTCACTCGTCACCTCATTGAGGCTGACCCGAGTTTCATCCACTTGTCCCATATGCGCAGGAAACCATCGAATTTCATTATCGATAGGATTGACTTTGTTCATAACTTTAACCACAGTCCCAGCGACATAGCCCTTGTCGAAGCTCGTAATTGCTGCTTTGGAGTCGCTATAGACGTATGACCATTTTCTGTTCCTGATAGCTAAAGCAATCGTGGAATCCTTAGTGAGTATAGTCAGGGCATCCCGTACCTTTCCCTGGCTGTCGACCACCACAGCCGTGTAGGCCTCTTGGCGTTGCACGCAGGCTGCGTCCACGATGGCCGCCTGTTGTGCTACCTGTTCGATTTCTTTCAATAAAGCTTTCGCTCTCGCTTTTCGAGTGCTGACATTGTGTTCCGGGTGCAAGTTTCTCGGCAGGGGAGTGATTCTGAACACGTCTCTAATCTTCGCGTTCAGTTCGACCTCGACCTACTTCGGGTTCATCGATCTATTGGGGATACACCCGATTGCCCTAAGTATCAGCCTACCCACACGTGTCCTCGTTAGTCTTTTCTGCTGCGCCGTCTGTAGCGCTTCAGCCATTTTTGCATAGTATTGTGCACGCCTAAGCTAATGAATTTCTCGTTCAACGCACTGTTAGGTATACCTAGGGCAGCCTTGACTAACTTTCTGTAATGGTGTTGAGCTTGTTCAGCTCGGCCTGCGACCATTGAAGGAGGCCTGCCACGTAGGTGAAGTGACAGAGAGCTGAAGGCGTGTAGTAGCCTTAGAGCGCTGTCCTCACCAAGGCCCCTGTGTCGGTTGGTGATTCTCTTTAGAAGCCTGAGTACTTGGTCAGTTGTTTTTTTGGGGGGGGGGGGGGAATTATGCTGAATGGCAGTGAGGTTGCTACCTCCCGCTTCTACGTAGAAGCCTAGAACTTTAATTTTTTTCAACCTGCTTGATCGCGGATCTGTCCTGACAGCGCAAGATAATCTTGGGTTCCTCACCTGGGACATAGCCCTTAGGTCTTCGAAACTAAACGTTCTGACTTGGCCGCCGAGCAATTTAGCCCCGTTTCGCCGAGAGTGCTTTCCATAATTTCTACACTCACTTGAAGTCTAGTCTCCATTTGGCCTATGTTTTCCTTGGCGCTCCACAAGGTTATATCGTCGGGATATGTCGTGAAGTGTATACCTTCTATCCGCTCCAAATCCTTCGCAACTCTGGTCATTGCTGAATTATATAACATGGGTGAGAGCGCAGCTCCTTGAGGGGTGCCTCTGTTGCCCAGTGCCCCCAACTTAGATTTTAGTTCTCCTAGTGTGAGGCTCGCTTGTCTACCACTAAGAAATGACTTGACTACGCGGAAAAGCCTCTCGCCCAGACCCAGCGTGGACAGGACCTCGAGGATGGCCTTATGCTCTATGTGGTCAAAAGCTTGTTCGACGTCGAGACCTAGGAGCGCTCTCGTATGCACTGGGCTAACCTGTATGAACTGGTGCTTCATTAGGAGCCTGGCGTCCTGAGTCGACAGCCCGGGACGAAAACCGATCATGTTATATGGGAGTTTGTCATGTTATTCGAGGGAGTGCGTGAATTTGTTGAGAATGACGTGTTTCATAGCTTTACCTAGGCATGACGTAAGAGGGATTGGACGGAGGTTATCTAGGCTGAGTGGTTTACTTGGTTAGGGTATGAGAATAGTATTGGCTCGCTTCCAGGTATGACGTAAGGGAGATTGGACGGAGGTTTCTAGGCTGAGTGGTTTACCTGGTTTGGGTATGAGAATAGTATTGGCTCACTTTCATTCCTCCAGATATTCTCCTTTTTTTCATAGGTCGGTGAAGTTATTCATCAAGAAAGTGATAGAGTTGTCACCTAGATTCATTAACAGTTTGTTAGTAATGCCGTCGGGTCCGGCTGCCGATCTGCTAAAAAGACCATGGAGGGCAGCTCGCACTTCACCCTCAGTGAAATCACGGTCCATTTCCTCGCACGGTGGTCCAGAGTACTCTGTTCATTGCTATCCTCCGGTTGCTTCAGCAGGAGATATTTTTCCGCAAGCTGCTGCATGATTACCTCTTGAGTCCTGGACTGACTCGCCTGATGTACTAGTTTCGCAATGGCCGTTTGCTTGTTAGACTTTGTTTGGTTCTCGTTCAATAGGTGTTTGAGGAGGTTCCAACTGCCCCCACGTTTGACTCTACCGTCTGCCTGGTTGCAAGATTCGTCCCACTGCTGTTTTGTGAGGGTTTGCGAGTGCTCCTCTATCTGTCTATTCAGCAACGCTATCTTTTTCCTGAGCTTTCGGTTAAGTTTTTGTGTTTCCCATTTTTGCAGGATGGATTGCTTGGCCTCGATCAGATGTGCGAGCCTACTATCCTATGGCCTCTATGCAGTCTTCCATCGTAATATTTCTAGTGGCCTCCTACAGGTCCTCTGAGAGCTGGTTTATCCAGGTCTAGAAGGACTGTCTGCCAGTTTCTATGGGTTCTAACTCCAATTTTTTTCTCTAGCTTTCCTAAAAAGGTCCCAGTCAGTGCACCGAAAGGTTCTAGTCTGTTGTTTCTTTATGTTGTTTCTTAGCCTATGTTGTTTCTTTAACATAGTCTTCTGCTTACATGAATTTCTTGCTGTGTTATATGGCCAGTGTTTTTTCTTCTATTTTGTCCCGAATAGCTAGTATTGCTACACTGGTACGGTGTTATTATTCTGTGTTATTATTATTTATGTTTATTACTTATGC